ATATCAGAATTTGTTCCTACAACTAAAGTTTATAGAAAGTGATCGTAACATTTAACTGTTTTCGAATTCAATTGTGATTTTAGAGCAATTATGACACATCTAATGGTGCTTTTTTACAGTGAGAAAATAATGCGTCATAGGACATCAAATGCCCTCCTTGACGCTTCAAACTGATAAGAATGTAAGAAAATGAAATTGCAGTAGGCCGAGTGGTCCCGTGCGAGGTAGCTCCTGTTTACACCCATCCATTATCACTTAGGCTTTTGTCCAACTTATATATAATGTATTCGAAACTTGCCAATGTAATGTACTTGCGCTATATATTTTCTGGTACTGTTAATACTGAAAAAAAGTCTTCTTACACACTTAAACATAAACAGTGCAAAAAAATAAATAAATAAACACTCACTTGGGTTCGGGAGATGTTTAAAGCCGTGTGAAACCTTTAGCTCGACACCGAGTCCTTAGTCTTCCCTTAACTTAGTGGTGTAAGTAATAATACGGTAATGTGTATGTTTATTTATGTCTTGTATATGTTTATTTTGTATCTGAATAATGAAAAGTAGTAGTTGTATAAGACAGGTCTTCTGAAGATATATATTTTTTTGTCAATAAAGCGCTGAACTGAACCGAACCCTTGAATCTTCTCAGTGAGTCTTTGTAAGGTGAAAACTTTTCTCGCCTCCCTTGTTTTAAGTTTATTTCTGTGACAATATATTCATTACTTACATTCACGATATAGCAATCAAGAGTATCAGTGTAGTGGATGGGTGACGGATGCTGTTGTTTTGACAAGTAAATAGAGTAGCGGATTGCATCATTGTATAGTTTCCACCACAAACAAAGGCCGTCACTGTTTGGCCTCCCAGACACAATGAATTTGGGGAACATACAGATGAACAACGTCACTTACTATCCCATGATCGAACAGCAAAGCTTCTGTTTCTTGATAAGGACCCACACCAAGACGAGGACAGCCAGACACAAGCCGACAATAGCCACAACGGAGAGCATGATCCACTGACTCACACGCACCCACACGGCCAACACCACGACTGATGCGACAGCGACACTCTGAACCCTTGCACGTCGTTTCAGATTCTGTGGGCAGTTTACGTAAATCTATAGGAGGATTACACACATCGTTTCAGGTGTTGTGCCACTCCATGTTCAAAGGGATTACTCACTCCCTATAGCACCAAAGTTTAGGAAAATAGCCCACGTTTTCTCCCGTGCAAGAGCGAATACCTTCTCCTTGTCGTAGTGGTGGAGGGCTAGTGAGTGAGGACACCAGTTGGAGAAGGTACGAAGCTAGACCAGCTAATATTTTGCGCGCCATCACCCTCGAGAGGTAGGTGCTGAGACACGTCCCGAGCACACACGCACCTTCAGTCAGTGGATCAACAGGGAGATTGTGATATTATTCGTGTATCTATATGGTTCCAGTGAGTGATGTATGTTGCCATAAGACTAAGCCCCACTTCTGTCATATTGTGTTACTCTTATTCCTCCGTACTTAAAAATACATTATAATAGAGGAAGAAAGATCCACAATATATATATATATATATATATATATATATATATATATATATATATATATATATATATATATATATATATATATATATATATATATATATATATATATATATATATATATATATATATATAAGTGAACTTTAATACAATCCTCAAGTTCTTATACAGTAGCTGTTATTTAGTACATACGTTTATTTTGCTCTTGGAAGAAGGACAAGTGCCGAACGAAATTGCTGATTAGAAACAATCAGACAAGTACTTGGGGATGAGACCCACTACACCAACACATCCTCAGTCTACCCCGAGAGTGACAGGTAAACGTGTGTTGTTATTGTGAAGGACATTTCTTATAAGGTATAGTGTATGTGAATATAACAGGAGCTTCACCTATCACACCATATGTTAAAAATGAATCCGTAAATAAATAAACAAATAATTGACTATGTGAGTGCACTCCACATAGTGAATGACTTCTTGCTGCCCGTCACACGGATCATTATTTTGACAAAAATTAACAACGTACAACAAAGAAAACGAATATCGGACTCTGTTATAATAGAATAACTTCTTGTTTTAACCTCACCAAACTCGTCATAAAACCCGACTAAGGTTAGCTCTGTCTTAGAAGTTTGTTGTACATCAGTGTTATGTGTCGAACGAACCAACATATTCAGGCCATAACTCGGCTCGCGGGTCAGCTGCTGTAGGAAGAGTTTTGGTCACGTCTCCTCAGATCACCTAACCTAACCTAACCTACTGTTCACCTTACACACAGTGAATGATGGAAGGTGGTGACAAGGGCGACAGTGATGTGATAATTGTCAGTACGTACTCTATTATTGTGGGCGACAGATACAAGTCAGGATTGAAGACACGAACTTGGCCCGGCACTCCACACCTCTCTTGTCGACGAGTCCCATGGTTGTGTTCTTTGGTAACTAGTAGCGTAGAAGTTAACAGTGACGAGAGACAACTGCCAGTCCTAACCTTATTCCTTTGAACTATATGTAATACTTCCTACTTGCGACATATAAACAAATTTATGGTGCTTAACATACGACTCCTGGGCCTGCTGATAATAGATTTTAGATTATAAACTTATCTGTTATTAGTCATTTGAAGAGGCTTCTGGCGTACGCTTGTGATTAACGTAAGTCAATAGTAAGGTTCTGTAACATTGACTTGAAGCTCTGATATACGTTCTCTGATAACGTGTATGATCTTGTTGAGTGAGGTGTTGGCGAGGAAGTATCCGGCAACACCGCCTTATACAACACACTGCCTCACACCACTCTGCTTCACATCATACACACAGCTTCACACCACGCACTGCCTCACACCACCTCACACCACCACACACTGCCTCACACCACACACCTGCCTCACACCACACACACACTGCCTCACACCACACACTGCCTCACACCACTCTGCTTTACATCATACACACAGCTTCACTCCACGCACTGCCTCACACCACCTCACACCACCACACACTGCCTCACACCACACACTGCTCACACACCACACACCACCACACACCACGCACTGCCTCACACCACTCTGCTTCACATCATACACACAGCTTCACACCACGCACTGCCTCACACCACACACTGCCTCACACCACACACCACCACACACCACGCACTGCTCTCACACCACTTGCTTCACATCATAATAGCTTTCACAACACCACGCACTGCTCTCACACACCACCCTCACACCCTGCCTCACACCACACACCACCCACACCACGCACTGCCTCACACCACTCTGCTTCACATCATACACACAGCTTCACTCCAGCACACTGCCTCACACCACCACACACTACCACACCACACACTGCCTCACACCGCCCTCACACCACTTGCTTCACATCATACACACAGCTTCACTCCATGCACTGCCTCACACCACCACCACACACTGCCTCACACCACACACACTGCCTCACACCACACTGGCTCTCAAACCACTCTGCTTCACACCATATACACCAAGCCACACACCACGCACTGCCTCACACCAGACTTCACCACACCACCACCACACTGCCTCACACCACACACCGCCTCACACCACACTGCCTCAAACCACTCTGCTTCACACCATATACACCGCTTCACACCACGCACCGCCCTCACACCCTCACACACACCACGCACCGCCTCACACCACACACACACCGCCTCACACCACACACACACTGCCTCACACCACAGACTGCCTCAAACCACTCTTGCTTCACATCATACACACAGCTTCACTCCACGCACTGCCCTCACACCACCACACACCGCCTCACACCACACACTGCCCTCACACCACGCACCGCCTCACACTGCCTCACACCACACACCGCCTCACACCTCACACACTGCCTCACACCACACACCGCCTCACACCACACACACCGCCTCACACCATACACACAGCTTCACTCCACGCACTGCCTCACACCACCACACACTGCCTCACACCACACACCGCCTCACACCTCACACACTGCCTCACACCACAGACTGCCTCACACCACGCACCGCCTCACACTGCCTCACACACCACACACCGCCTCACACCTCACACACACACTGCCTCACACCACAGACCGCCTCACACCACACACTGCCTCACACACCTCACACACACACCGCCTCCTCACACCTCACACACACACTGCCTCACACCACAGACTGCCTCTCACACCACAGACTGCCTCAAACCACTCTGCTTCACACCATACACACAGCTTCGCCACACCACACCTTGCCTCACACCACTCTGCTCACACCACACACAGCTTCACACCATATACAATCCGCCTCACACCACACACCGCCTCACACACCACACAACTCACCACCACACACCGCCTCACACCACACACACCGCCTCACACCAAGTTCTCACACCACACACCGCCTCACACTGCCTCACACCACACACCGCCTCACACTGCCTCACACCACACACCGCCTCACACTGCCTCACACCGCCTCACACCACCTCACACCACACTGCCTCACACCTCACACCGCCTCACACTGCCTCACACCACACACCGCCTCACACTGCCTCACACCACACACCGTCGCCGTGTAGATCATGTAACTATCACCTGTACACACAACCAAAAACGTATCTGTACACATTAAGTCCGATAATTTCCTCAATGATCACTACACCTATGGCCACCACGTAGCCACCACCATGAACCACACTACACAGTTCACAAGATTAATCTATTCTCTTACAATACTCACTATGGATAAAACAGGAAATGTTGCTTGTAAGTTTGGCCATTTTGCAATCTCTATCGTCTGTGGTGTCAGTTTGTTTCACGGGAATGTGCTCAGATATATTTATGATGGTGGGAGGAAGGCTTTAATTAATAAAAGACAGATATATAGTTTGTTTTATTACAGGGTACAATATACCTACAGTTTGTTAGTCTTGGAGCAGTTGGGAATATGTATTGATTAGTACGTAACATCTAGTGAATAAATATGAAGGTGAAATACTTTCTTTAGTGAGTGAGACTACAATCTAAAATACATCGAGGCAAAACCATATAGAGGACACGGGAGCGAAGCTGCCCTGGGCGTGTGTCTGCACATGGTCCCAGCAGCTGCCCGGGAACAAGGGCTGTGATTCTACTAGGTCGTTGCCTGGTCAGTCTAACCGCCCTTGCAGCAGTGACTCAGGGTGCAGGCGGCTATATCCCGCAGGGATAAGTTCTCCCAGTCATCATCGTCCTGCTCCTCCCGCAGGAGAGGAGTGGAGGGTGTGGCAGGCCGTGAGACACTCCTGCAACATAGCCCGTATTAACCATCTCTTGAGACTATTATACTTATTCGGTACAGATTGCAATGTACGCTGCTATCCCATAAAACTTAAGTTTTGAAGAACAACTATTGACATGCACTGAAAATAAAAATGGCAGCCAATTAACTGCAAAGGTTAATGAACCACATCTTAGATTACTTACCTTGAGATCTTATTCAGGGAAGCAACCACCAGGACCAGCAGCAGAAGGATGAGAGCTCCCGGCAGCAGGGAGGCCCACAGCGGCCATACTTGAATGTCTGAGTTATTACCGTTCACAGGCGGGGAGATGCTCGTCGTCACGTTGGACCCGGTGCTGTTAGGGAAGAGTGTCATCTCCGACATGTTTACTCATCACTGTTGGCTCTGAGGCGATGCGCGGTTTGAGGGCGGGAATTAACAAGAGAGGAGCGGGAAGTGGCTGAGGCGGGCGGTGAGTGAGGTACTGTGAGAAGTGAGGTACTGACTACTGATATATGCTCGGCCGTCCCTCACTTCCATACATCCTGGGCGTGTGGGGGCCGACACTGCCTCCCCAATGTATACATGAATAATGATAAATATCCCACATCGAGTCATAATCTTATCTTAAATCTTCAACATTATTATAAATAACGTGACGGAGGAAATGAAATAACCTTAAAATAAACTGTCCAAAACACGGAATTTCACACGAGTTTATTAGTCGTTTAAATGAACACATGGTTACTGTCCGCGTCCCATACTTAATCTTTCCCTAGGATGACCAGTATGCAGTCCTACACGTGTGATAACACTAAACCTTCATCACTATTATGACTCTCAAATGTTCGTTGATTGTTTGTTTGTTTTCCAGTAACGGTGTGAGGGAACGTGGTGTCTGGTTGGAGTAGTCGAGGCTCCTACACAAGTCCTGCCTCCCTTGTAGTGTCGTAGTTCAAATGAGTCAGGTGGTCGAGGTCTCACATTTCTCAGTCCTGAATCTTTATATTTATCTCATGACATTTATCTTTGTGTAAGATTACATTGTCTGTTCTTTAATGTATTACTGTACAGTGTTCATGTCAAAATGAACTATTTCATTGCTGTAAAATAATACTTGTATTGTTATAACATTTATAACTTTTTGTAAACCCCAGAAGGGGATGACAAAGGTGAGGGTGGGAGCAGTGCACTGCCCTGTCCTTTTGATGTAATAGTTTTATGGTTGATAAAGTATTTCAATTTATACTTATCTCCGCATCTCTTTGTTTTCGTAATTTTTTAATAAGTAACTCTTATATAATTTACATTTAGTTAAAACATGCTTTAAAATCAGCTTAACTCAAACAAGAATAAACAATAACTTTTTTCATTCTGATTCAAGCTATGTGGGGGTGTTAGGTTAGGTTAGTCTTAAGTGGAAATAAACTGGGTTGTCTAATCATCAGTTGACCCTAAATTTTCCTTCCACTAACGCAAGAGATCCCATAGTAATTCATGACTAATTAGTTGAATACAGGACACAATTCTTTGTTAAATCTCAGAATTCTGTTGTGTGAAATATTGAATTATAAAAAAAAAAAATATCCTGTCTTGCTATTTATTAAAGTTGAGATTAACAATTGTGTGGTCGCTGTCACCTGTTTATTACTCTCGTTTCCACATAACATTAAGGACAGGGCAGGTATAATAAATCTGCCACCTTGGACGCCACTGTTTGTCTGAGGTACACGAAGAATAAAGTCTGTTTACATTTTTCATAATACCAGGAAGTGTTTCTCTCTCTTATGAGTCAACTGCTTGAGAAATAAGGTAATTATGATGAGATTTAGGGCCTCTTTTCACTGTCTTGTCGTAGTTGAGCCTCGTATGGAACACATCTCAAACAATGGTAAAAAATCAGGGTCAGATCATGTGACAAATGTATTTAATTAAACTCAGTAGAGGACGCTACTTGTATAAATATATTTCAAGTCGTTAAAACTATATTAAAACTAATTAAAAAAGAATCATCGTAAAAACAGTATGTAGATAAAAACTCATTGTGTTGGTTTGGTAGTGAGGACACAGCTCGCACTACACTGGTGCTCCGTCGGGGTGTATTATGGTAAAGCTTATGGGGCCGAGCTGACACTGAGATGTTGCCAGACATTAACACCAGAGCTTCCCTTCCTCTTCCTCCTGAATCTCCTGCCAAATCGTCGGGTCACGCGGAGTCTCCTGTGGAAGAGACCACCAGCCTCTTGGGACGTCTCTTGCCATCTTCTTCCACACGTACACCAGCTGCTGTAACCAATAACCATGACTAATAACCTTGTGTATGGCACTTTCCTCTCATAATTACAACACATCACTGTATTAAAACAACTTATGTGTGGAAATTCAGTTACAAAATTAGGAACTAGAAGATGGCGGAGTTATTGTAAAGGTTAATTATACTGTACGTGAATGATATTTTGTGATACTTGTTTTTTGTTTAAATTTTTTTTTTATTGCAGAAGCAGGGACAAGGCCTAAGAAAAACTGTATTAAAATTTAACGTTAAATGTGTACCTTATGTCAATAGCAACGTCGAGTTATTGACTATATAGCAGAGATTAATTCACTAGAGATGACATGAACAGGTAATAGTTTACAACAGCGTGTGTTACTAGGGGTCACTTTAGGAAACTCTACAGAAGAAAACTTATTTCTCACCTTTCGAATATCAATATAAGTTTGGAGGAATTGTAACTTTCCTTTTTTTTCTCTTCCGAATTTTTCGTCTTGGGAGACAACCTTGCTGTACCCGTCGCCTCGGTACACCGCCATTAAGCGGGCGCTAATACACAGACGTCTCCTACACATTATAACGCTTCCGTTCAGCACACGAGAAGAACCGGCAGCAGCAACTTTTGAAATTTTTTATACAGTATTAATAAATACCAAGAAATAAATGCGCTTTTACGGCGATTTTCGTATTGTTAGTTTGGCGACTTGTTCGGGACAGCGCCTGAAGAGCGTCCTCCTACTCGGGAACTCACGCCAGCGACCACACCTTAGGTTAGGTTAGGTAAGAAGTTTAGAGACTTGCTATCCTCCAAATATAGGTAATTGTATAGAATGACTCCATAGACTTAATAAAGGGTTTGTTTTGTACGGAATTTCCACTCGAATGTTTGTTTTATTACACAGACTGCAAACCTGGCGGCGGAACAAGGAAAAAACTACTTTCATTTTACTTTGGAAACAACAGTGACCTCTCACCTTTGTCAATTGCACAAATTGACAAAAAAAAATACGACATTACTCAAGTGTTTCGTTCCTAGTGACATCAGAACGAGTCATTATGATAAATCAGTAAACTACTACTCGTAAAACGATGAATGATTCTAACTTTCCTATTGGAAGTTATATTAAACGGAATGATATCTAGAAGGGAGTACAGGAAGAACAAGAGCATTACCGTGGACCTGGCAGTGGATCAGTCCTGGCAAAGCTCCACACTAGGAGGGCTGAAACCAGTGCCAGAGTGGCTAGGGTGCTGTGGAGTACCACTGCAGGCCACCGCATCCTAGAGCTCACCGTCTGCATATCGTGTAAGGCGTCCAGCGGGTCCTTAGAATTCATGCTATGAGTCTCCAACAAAGGATTGCTGTTCAGGGAGTATTGTGGTCCCATGGTGGTTGTGGTTATGGGAGTATCCGAGTACATTTGCAACACATGTTTGGTCATGGCCCACACCAGCACCATCATGGACACCATCAGGGTCACCACACATACAGTAGGCGCCAACAAAGACCTCGGAGGTGGTTGTATATTTGTTGTAGACAAGTTGCGTGAGGTGAACTGGTCCCTGTCTTTTAGACTTCTCTCTGATGATCCTTCGTACATCATCCTACTTTTTGTTAAAGAATTTGCTCTAAGTGGGGAGGATAAACACTCAGCCGTGCATGAGCTCTGGCTCCAGGGATGACGGACTGGGGTGAACCCTGGTCTCGAAGCTTCAAATACTGCACAATATTGATTTGGACAGTTGCTCGAAGCATCTGAATCCTTTTTCCATTCTGTGTTTTCGACTGCAGAGTTCAGTACCATAATGAAGGTGACGACTTAACTGTTGTTGTTATTATGTCATAAGGGTGAAGATCGTGTGGTGCTGACTCAATTAAAGTAGAGTACAGGCGAGCTACACGGAATCTTGAAGTAATGTTCAGATAACAACAACAAGACACCAGATTACCACTACTACGAGGTTCCAGGTAGTCATTTGTGATGTATACATTACTCATCAGCGCCATCTGTCGTAAGTAAATATCCTCACCTTATCAACACCTTGGAAAAACTCCAACATTCTGACTCAAATAATCATCTTAACAGGAAAAAGAATAACTAGAATTTATATGACATTATATACTCTGTACCACACAATGTTAAGTTTCTTCTGGTTAATACGAACTTTTCTTTTCAGTAAAGCGACCAGGACGGAGGCAGTTTCCAACACCATCTACAAGTTTCAGAGTGCGGGTGAGTTTCTCTTGTACTGTCTTCTTGCCTATGACTATTACGTCCACCGAGAGGATAATAATTCTTCCTCTGTTGTATGTTTATTGGCGCAAAGAACACCCTGAGACCTGTGCTAATGTATGTATGTATGTATGTATGTACTGTATGTATGTATGTTCTCACCTGTTATATGGATGCCACTTCGTCTCTCGCGCCACAAGAGTTCTCCTGTATATTATTTTCTATCTGGGTTCACAGCACAGTACCCAGAGACGAGGTGACGTATTACAGGTAGGTTAGGTTAGGTTAGGTTAGGTGTTACAGGTTGGGTGGCAGTGTACAGTACAGTATAGTGTGAGGAAATAACCTACTGCAAATTGAAGGTCTTGGCTCCATAGTGTATAGTGATTCGTTCTTGTTATATAGTTTGATGGGTCGTAGATCAAGTCGAAATGTGAGTTGTGAGTTATGAGTTATTGTGAGTTATCTGGTTTGAATGTCTGTTTGTAGTTTATTTTTGGCTATATAAAGTTGGTGGGATTAGATCGTGGTATAAGGGAACTATTACCATCTTTTACTTCTTTCTGGATAACATACCTATCACCGTGTCCACACTCCTTGTTGTAGTAGCTCAGGTGTGTGGTTTAATTAGTAGGTCAGGTGTGTGGCTTAATTAGTAGTTCAGGTGTGTGGGTTAATTAGTAGCTCAGGTGTGTGGCTTAATTAGTAGCTCAGGTGTGTGGGTTAATTAGTAGCTCAGGTGTGTGGGTTAATTAGTAGCTCAGGTGTGTGGCTTAATTAGTAGCTCAGGTGTGTGGGTTAATTAGTAGCTCAGGTGTGTGGCTTAATTAGTAGGTCAGGTGTGTAGCTTAATTACTAGGTCAGGTACGTGGCTTAATAAAAGAACAGATCCTACAAATAATATGTTTACTAAAATATTCACATACTTTTATTTTAAACTTATCAGAGTTCCCACACTTACACCCAACCTTATCCATCCATTGCTATAATAGTTCTCTCAGTTTACCCCCACTAAGTCATCATATAGCTCAGTATAACAAGTAAGTTATCATTATATATCCGGCTTGGAGAGTAGCGGCCGGTGGTTGAGGGAGGTATAGGTAGGGGGAGTAAGTGGCAGCAGCATTAACAGATAGGGAGGCACTGGACACCAACGGGAGTACAGCGACACTCTTTACACTTGGCTGACAACTCGGGGATCCTATCCTTCACCACGTACATCCGGCCGTAGATGTTGCAGCCCGATAGTTTCAGAAGACCTGTAGAGAAGGTATAGTTTAGTTTTATTTTGGCAGATATCACGAGTTTTAAGCTGGATGATAATTCCAAAGGTATTTGTAATTGAGATTTTAAAGTATCCTTTCTGTATTTACTGCTATCTTTAGTAAACAAAAAAACGAATCACGAGAAAATTAGGTTAGGTTAGGTTAGTGTGTTTAATCGTAAAGTAAAATAGACTGAGGACATATTTTTCATGTGATCGAAAAAACTATGAATGTACTTTACTATAGCAACCTGCCATAGTGACATCAATAATATTTAAACAATAATTGAATCTATTATTGATTATATTTCTTACCTGATGCCAAGACGGGGTCAGTGGCCAGCGGTAGTTGGTCCCTGACAGCTGGTGGTATCTCGGGCAGAGTTGAGGCGACCTTCACTGGCACGATGGGCTTGGGTGTTCCTTGGCTGGATGTGAACCTGACGGGGGGAGTGTTTTGTCCTTCAGGAAGTTCAAATACATCCTGCAGTAGGAGGTTGGAGATGTCATTTGAGACTATTGGTCGCGAGGTTTGGGTAGGGTTGATAGTTGTGGACTTAGGTCGAGAAAGAAAGGCGAAGGGGTGGATAGGTGTGGTTTTGGGTCGGGGAGGAGAAGCGGTGGGGAAGATAGTTGTGATTTTGAGCCTGGGAGGAAGAGCGGGCGGGAGTCTTGCTGGTTGTTGGGTGGTGTCTGCTGGTGGTGAGGTTGTAAGTTCTGTTGTTGTTGTTGTTTTGGGTGTTGGACGATGGGGTGGGATGAAGGGCGGGCGGGTTGATGGGCGTTCGGTTTGAATAAAGGGAACATTTGTTGATACTTCGGGCTGGTTGTCAGAGTCCTCAGACGCTGTTATGGTCGTGACAGCTCCGGGTACTGACAGGAAGGTTGGACGCTTCGGTCGCTCTCCAGGACGACGGAAGGGTAAGAATGGACGCCGTAGTGGGGAATCTTCGTTGGCTGTAGGTCGATTGATTTGTCGACGAGGTGGGAGGATGGGTGGGCGGCGATCACCAATTGGGAGACCAGCGAAAGGATGACGTGTGGTGGCGGTGGGCGTGGTGGTTGTGGAAGGGTCCTCGGTAGTCTCTCCTGGGTTAAGGTTAGCAGTGCTGTCATCGTCACCGTTTGCTGGCTCATCATCTGAAACATTATGAGATCATACAGTCACTGCCACAACCACAGTCACTTGTGCGCTTATCCTGCAATACTTGGCACCATTTACAATGCCATTTGTTGAATCTCGACAGGTTTACCCGAGGCTTTGGCGGGTTACTGTACTGTATATATGAGAGAGGGAGAGGGAGGAACATAAGGACCTCCCCAGCAAGTCATGTGAAGGACTGTAGGAGAGGAAGGGACCCGGTGAACACCAGTAGAAGGAACTCTGGAGGATTGTAGACGAGGGTGTGATACACATAGGAGCCACCTTAGTACTTACCAGGGTCGGGTACGAGGATGGGCACCAGAGGGAGTGGACTTGAGCTACTGAAGCCAAGTTCTGGCTCTGTGAGGGCGTCCGCTGCCACGAAGGGGATGATTCTGTAATTACATAACGTTATTAACAACAATAATCATTATACGGTTATGATATGTCGTGAAATATTTATCTTGGAAATAAAACCAACACACCTCAGCTCAAGACAGCTGTCGTGCCAGAAGACTGTATCATTGGTTTGCTTTATTTTCATAGTTAAGTGAGTGTTGAATTAAAAAATTGTCTGTCAATGAGTGAGTGGATGACTGATTGAGTCAACTAAACAGCAACAAACATAGAGATGAATAAAAATGATTAAAACATAATGTAATATTCTTTAACCCTTCCGAGAGTAAAGTCGCCCTTAGGTAATTTATTCTGGCTAATGCTAAACGATCTTATTCAGGTGAGAGAAACACCCTCGCCTCTAAAGGGTTACTCTAGTTTGCATGACTATAATGGTAAACACCGATCCTTAATGATGGAATAATTAAATTGAAACAGTTTTTGAATTATGTAAACGAAGATGATTAGTTGGTGTCGTGAACAGTGATAAGATAAATATGTTTATACTTGAGACCCCTCAGCTGTCACGGGCTCCTGGGTACTGCACCGGGTGTTGGGCAAAATTTACTCTCGATACTTTTAGCACTCGATATATTAAAGGAAAGTTGCCACGTGTTGTAGAGTACAGGAGGAGAGCTGCCAAGGTGAGACGTGTTTGTTTAATTTTGTTATTTATCAAAAGTAAAATAACATGAGTCGGTTTATTAAGAAGTACTAAGAAATCTGTGGATGATCTGTTTCTCCTAAAATAACTGATACATTTCACGGCTCATCCAAAGATTAATTTTCCCAGTTTATTTTACATGAAGACTAACCACCTTAATGCTACCTGGTGGGATTACACTAATTAGGTTAGGTTAATGTTAGGGTGGTTAATCTTCAGGTGAAATAAGCTGTGGGGGGGCTAATCTTCAGGTGATCCCATTTCGCTGTCATTCTGATATCTTACTTTAAGTTTGGGAGTGAAGGAGGTAGGGTTGGGTCCCCGATGTTGTCGTAGTCATCAGCGAAGTCGAAGGTGGGTTGGATGCCTTCCCCTTCACCTCGGATACCCTGGAATCCACCTTCAATGATGGGGTCAGAGGGCAGGTCATGAGGGATCCCTGGTTGTTGAGGGGCTAGTGCAGGCTGGATGTTGGTGGGACCTGGCCGACGGAAAGGCGTACTGGGCCTGGTGTGTATCGGGTCGGGTAGGTTGATGAACGAGAGGGGTGGGATACGAATGGGACTGGGTTGGTCTTGTATTGGAGATGGTTGGATAAATGCTGGGATGATAGGGTGGGGAGGCGGGTTAGTTCGGCTGGGTGGAGGTGCGAATTGTAATGCGTCGACTGTAGGGATGATTAGTTCCTGTGGCTCTGGTGTGGAGGTAGTGGTGGAGGTCGTGGTGGAGGTCGTGGTCGTGGAGGCCGGGATTGTGTCCTCCTGGCTTGTTGGTGAGGGAGATGTAAAGCGGAATCGCGGAGGAATGAACTCAGGTCTGGAGTTAGGTCTTGGTCGTGGTCTGAAAGGTGCGCGAGGGGGTGGTGGTCTGAACGGTCTCTCTGGTCTGGATGGCCTTTCAGGTCTGATCGGTCTGTCTGGCCTTTCTGGTATGAGTGTCTCCGGTGTTTTGGGTGTAGGTCTCTCTGGTAGTTCTGGTCTGGGTCTGTCTGGTCTGGGTCTCTCTGGTCCTTCTGTGGTGGGCCGGTCTGGTCGTGTGAACATGTTAAAGAGAGCGCCAAGTATAGCTGGTCCGGATAGTACAGTTCCTTCGTCAGTCTCCGGCGTCTTGTGCTCTGGCTCCAGCTGCACGGGGATCACCTCGCCGACGCCCACAGCAGCGGGTTGAGCCTGGCTAGAGGTCAGTACCGAGGTGCCCACAGTGATGTCATAAGTAGTAAAGTCAGTTTCAGGGTCAGTAACCTCAGTGTCGACAGCATCCTCAACTAGTGACGTGTCCTCTACAGAAGGCGCCGTAGGTGAAGGTTCTTCCTCGTCAGGCGTTGCTGAGGTAGTGATGGGTGTCTGAGTTGTGGTGGACGCCTGGGTTGTGGTGGACGCCTGGGTTGTGGTGGACGCCTGGGTTGTGGTGGACGCCTGGGTTGTGGTGGACGCCTGGGTTGTGGTGGACGCCTGGGCTGTGGTGGACGCCTGGGTTGTGGTGGACGCCTGGGTTGTGGTGGACGCCTGGGTTGTGGTGGAAGGGCTTTCCTCTGGTTTAATGGTAGTGTCTGGCAAAACAATTGAAGAAAGTAATGTTGTTATTTCCTCCAGTGTTAGTTCCGACTCGTTGAGGGCGTCGTTGCTTGTTAAAGCCTCGTCGTTGACTTCCTCTCTCTCAGGTGGGAGATCCTTCACCAAGATCGTTGTCTCCTCTTGAGGGATCTCCGTTACAGCAGTGCCCTCCTCCTCCACCTCTGCTGTAGTCTCAACAATATTTTCTGTCACGTTGTTATCCTTGTGTTTACGATCAGTTCTAACGCTGTTGCCGAAGATTAGTATTGGACCAAAGGCCACAGCGTCGTCCAGGTTGCCCTTCACGTTAACTCCAGCACCGACCTCCACCGGTTTCTGCCAGTTGAGGATTGGAGGATTGCGTCGGGAGGGCAGAGTAGTGAGTCTCCTCCTGTCCTGTATCAGGAAAGCTTCGCCAACGTGACCCACTCCAGTCACCTGGAATTAAATTGTGACGTGAGAAAATATTATGTGCATGATGCCTGACACTTGAATCACTGCAGTTATCGTTGAACATAATGAATATCCGAAGAAATTTTTTACCCAAATCCTGATTTCGTTATGATATATGAGTTTTTATTTTTACTCCTAAGAGTTTTTTTAATGAAGCTGATACACAAATAGTGTCTGTGATGATACTTTAGACAAACAAATATTGTAATGTATAAAAAATATAGTGGGTCCCATAGGCCTAATGATCCTTAGGGGCAGTGTGGATATAGCACACTGAAGATTGTACCATCGGTACACAAGCAGGCTGGCACTGATCTCTACCGCCTCTCACATCTCCAGCTGTAAAGTTGGGTGCCCATTCTGCAGCTGAGTCGACTGGGGACGCCTCACTGACCGGTGTCAGGAGGTGAGTGCTATATCCACTCTACCCCGCGCCCTTGTATACATCGTTGACATGAGGTATTCCATGCATTAGTGTAAGCAAACTGACAAGAGCGAAAAAGCGGTTTTTTTTATTCATGTATGTTAGGAAGCTCGGAGTAATGACAGAAAAACAGTTTTGGGTGAATAATAATAAATACTGTTTAAGGAATTACTTTATAATAGCAACTTAAGTCTTGTCTCGTTGTTGTACAAACTTGTGTTACTCATTTCCATTGTTGAACACTTCTGTAGAGCGTGTTGTGCTGTAGTAACACATGTCCGTCACTGTTTAAGAGTCAGAGTAAAGCTGTTGTCTTAGATGGCGTCTTGTATACTTTGTAGTCATTCAGTTAGATGTTGTAGATGCAGATGGTCACTTAGCTGCCACCACATGACCCGTCACTTAGTCCAAGCTTTGTTACTGAAGCTCCTGAGGGAAGTGACCTTGTCTTTCTGTGAGTCCAGTATCCCCAGAGTCACTATAAGTTCCTTTTGTCAGGCCTCAGTATGTAGATAATAACTGGAACACTTGTGGACATGATCTGTGGTCCTGGGCGTAATTAGAACCCGTGTCACGAAGCTTCAGAACCTACTGTCTTGACCTCTGCACCATCATCAGCTTCACGTCATCCTCAGTTATTGGTGAGATACTTGGTGATGTGTACCAGGTTCTTACTCTTTGAAAGTCTTATGTAAATTTGTAGTCTTTTTGTCTTTATTTAGGTTTAATATGAGTGATAGAGAAACCGACCTTCTATAATCTATGACTAATGCTTAGGACACACAAGGGATTAGTAGGACTGTATCTATACAATAAATTAGAAACATAGATTTATAAAACGTCTTCATAAAGTCATATCATCAGTGGAGTGTTATGTTACCTTGTGCAGCGTGGTGGTGAAATGTTCCTAGTTATCATCAGAAGTTGGGTTATTTACAATTGTGTTTTTGTTTACCAGAGGTTGTTGAGTATGTTTGGAACACACAGACAGACAGACACTCACAACAAACCATTAGGAACAACATTAAGAAAAATAACTATTTGTCTTTTAATAATGATAAGTTAACACAGGTTCACTCTATAAGGACGTAAGTGATCTACTCCATAGCTCTCTTACATATTATTTGATGTTTGGTTAAGAGTTTTATTGTATATAGTGTTATGTTTGTTAAGGCACTGGGCACCGTGGGCAGAAACACACACACAATAATAATAATAATTTGTAATATAAAAATTTCGGTCCACACCATCAGCTGCACCGGCCGTATTGTTATATACATTTAACATCTGCATTACTGTCATAGTCATGATGTTTGTCCGTCCTTAAGTATTGGTAAATAAGAAATCTGAGACATGTGTTTAACTTGAGAAATAAGAAAAGCTTAATATTCATGCTAAGAACCAGTAGATCATCACGAGGGGTCCTCCCGACATGCGGTGGTGTACTGAAGAGGTACTGGCAGAACCATGGACTAAACATTCCGCCTGGCTTATTGGCTATCTGTTAGTTTGAAAACTCTACCCACTGGTGCCACAGCTCTCCACGACAGTGTCTAAAGCCAGCTGTCTTTGCTTAGGTATAGATTAGTAAGCTTTATTGACTGTCGCCAATCGAGTACAAGTTTCCAATCCAACTGTGTTAGCTAATCCATGGTTGAACCGTCGGCAATCAGATGTAACCTTCTATCTTAGCCGAAACTGTTTGATGTGGAAGGTAATTTTTTTTAGAATGATCTCTTATCGTTAAGTCTTAAGTGAGTGAAACTTCATTGTATTATTACAAAGTGGATGTTCATTTGGATATGGTTTGTTACGTCTGACTGTCGCCTTGTTATCTAATTTAGCTATTTAGAACTATTTTTTGTTTATTTATATATTTAAAGACTACCTCAAAGAGTGATTCAAGTTGCGGTCCCAAGGTGGTAATAACAGGGTCAGCACTCGATGTTGTGGTGGTCGATGGTCTAGGTGGTGTTGCAGTGGTGGTGATAGTGGTGGTAGGCTTGGTGGCTCTGGATTGGGTGGCGTACCTATATCTTGAAAATTTGGATGGAACGACAGCAGAGACTGTTCGGGACTGGATGGTGTCCGAGAGCACCAAGTCATCCAGAGTAGTGGTGATGGGTTCCTGTGTCGTGGTGACTGGAGGTGTGATGGGTCGGCTGGGTTGTGGGGCTTCATCGTCTACAATCTGAAGCGTGTCCGTGAGCTCGGAAGTTGTGGGTGTTGCTGAGGTGGTTGTAGTAGGTGTAGGTATTGTGGTAGGTGTGGGTGTTGTGGTAGGTGTGGGTGTTGTAGAAGGTGTAGGGGTTGTGGTTGCTGTGGTCGTTGTGGATGAGGTTGTAGTAGGTGTTGTTGGTGGGGTTGTGGTGGACGGTATCTTACTCTTGGATGCGTATTTGCTGCTCTGTCTATTCCTGAGGCGGAAACTGAGACTCTGTGCCTCAGGTCGGGGTCGGGGCCTGTCTGGTCGGGCAGGCCTCTCAGGTCGAGTAGGCCTCTCAACTTCAGGTCTTTCAGGTCGAGTAGGCCTCTCAACTTCAGATCTTTCAGGTTGAGTAGGCCTCTCAACTTCAGGTCTTTCAGGTTGAGTAGGCCTCTCAACTTCAGGTCTTTCAGGTTGAGTAGGCCTCTCAACTTCAGGTCTTTCAGGTCTCTCTGGTGAGGTAGGCATCTCTATTTCAGATCTCTCCGGTCGGGGAGGCCTCTCAACTTCAGGTCTCTCCGGTCTGGTAAACCTCCTAACTTCAGGTCTTTCAGGTCTCTCCGGTCGGGGAGGCCTCTCAACTTCAGGACTTTCAGGTCTCTCTGGTGGGGTAGGCCTTTCTACTTCAGGTCTCTCCGGTCGGGGAGGCCTCTCAACTTCAGGTCTCTCCGGTCTGGTAAACCTCCTAACTTCAGGTCTTTCAGGTCTCTCCGGTCGGGGAGGCCTCTCAACTTCAGGTCTTTCAGGTCTCTCCGGTCTGGTAGGCCTCTCAACTTCAGGTCTTTCAGGTCTCTCCGGTCGGGTAGGCCTCTGGATTCGAGGTCTTTCAATTCGAGGTTTAGTTCGACTCAGGAGACTTGTCTCTCTCGGTCGAGATATTCTGGTGGAGTTTCGTCGCCGGAAACTGTAACGGGACTGTTGGCGGCGTTTGGCAATATCTGCATTAGTTGCTCGGGTCATCGGGGGTAGTCTTGGAGGGGGGTTCCTCAGGGGCGGGGGCATCTCTGGAGTCTCCGTCACCTCCTCCTCCTCTCCTGGAACTTCCTCTCCTACCTCCCACTCCGTTGTCTCTCCCTGACTGAGAGCTGCTTCCTCAGTGAGAGCTGCTTCCTCAGTGAGAGCTGCTTCATCGGTGAGAGCTGCTTCATCGGTGAGTGCTGCTTCATCGGTGAGAGCTGCTTCATGGGTGAGAGCTGCTTCATGGGCGAGAGCTGCTTCATGGGCGAGAGCTGCTTCATGGGTGAGAGCTGCTTCATGGGCGAGAGCTGCTTCATCGGTGGGAGCTGCTTCAGTTACTGGAGCTTCTGTTGTGCTTGTTTCGTTTCCGTCGGGATGTGGAAGGTCAGCGTCTAGAGAAGCTATAAGAGGCTGGACAACACCAAATGGAAACAATTACTGACTCTGTTTAATACACCGCTACACCAAGTTAAATATATGCCGTCTGAACTAAAACATGTTGAATAATATATGTAATTAGTATCCCATAAACTAAGACGACTGTCACTCTTCTCGGTAACATTATACACATACAGTAAGTCCTTGGTTGTTCCCTGCCTATGGGATGTTCTTCAAAGATCACCGTGTTCGTGTCTGATTTTATTAACTCCCTATAAAAGTTGATTTTAAGTTCTCGAGGGTTCTTTTCTTTTGTTCTCGCTCGCCTCACACTAACTTAGATACACCTCATTCTCCTCACACACACTGAGACACACCTCATCCTCCTCACACTAACTTAGATACACCTCATTCTCCTCACACACACTGAGACACACCATCCTCCCTCAAGACTAACTTAGATATTAATTCCCCATTCTCCCTCACACACACCCCATTCTCTCACACACAATTGAGACACCCCATTCTCCCCCACATCCCTAGAGACACCCCATTCTCCCTCACACACAATTGGAGACACACCCTCATTCTCTCACACACACTGAGACACACCCCATTCCTCCCCACACACTGAGACACACCCTCATTCCTCCCCACACACTGAGACACACCCCATTCTCCCCACACACACACTGAGACACACCATTCCCTCCCTCACACACACTGGAGACACACCTCATTCTCCCCAGCACACACACTGGGAGACACACCCCATTCCTCCCCACACACTTGAGACACACCTCATTCTCCCACACACACTGAGACACACCTCATTCTCCTCACACTAACTTAGATACACCTCATTCTCCTCACACACACTGAGACACACCTCATTCTCCTCACACTAACTTAGAGACACCTCATTCTCCTCACACACACTGAGACACACCTCATTCTCCTCACACACACTGAGACACACCTCATTCTCCTCACACACACTGAGACACACCTCATTCTCCTCACACACACTGAGACACACCTCATTCTCCTCACACACACTGAGACACACCTCATTCTCCTCACACACACTGAGACACACCATTCTCTATATATGGGTGAAAGATATACAATTCTCGATAGAATTAACATGAGTAGGGCCCCCAGCCATTAATATAGGTTAGCCCAATCTTACACAGAACTCACCTAGGCATTACCTAACCTAACCATATCATAGCTAATTAAACCAAATCTTAGCTAACATACCTAAACCATATCTAATAACCTATCGTTCCTAGGGTTGGTTTAGTTAGGTTTAATTTAATTTTCCTCGTGTCATATTGTTAAGAGAAACACCACAAAATTAATGGATGGTTTTAACAGTCCCGCTAACGACACTTTCCAACAGAGAGGATGGTATCATGGGCGGTATACACTAGTTTGTCCTGCTTACCTCCGCGTTTTCTGTGTCAGTGATGGTCGCTTCCCCCCCTGGACTGATTCTTGCCATACTCCACCAGTCTTGAAGTTCATCTTGATGGTTCAGTTCTTTGGCCTGTAGTAGAGACAACAGTTGGTTAATATGATAACACTATGGCTGACTTTAGTATTGTTAAAGTCTTTATTTTGTACAGAAGTGAAGAATTTAAGTCCCTGGTAGGTGATCTATTTTGCTCGAGAGAATTAAGAATGTTGTTTGAATATACTCGTATTTTCATGATAAATTTAGAATTAAGAGGTCTGGGATATAGAAATATTTATGTAGAATTATACTTGTGGGTATTGTTTGATTAACTCTATGTTTATGTTGGATTATAGAGCTGTGGTTATACTGTATGTTGTATAGCGCTATAGTCAATCATATATTTTTATTGATTTTATTGTTATTAGTTTAGTTTCTTCTTTAATGGAGGTCGAGTGTTTGGTGTTAATTGTTTATGGTGTCAGGAGCACATAGGTGATAATTAATGTTTTGTTTCTGGAGTGAGAACTTTACCTTTAAGAGTAGAGCAAGTTGGTCCCTCGTCACCTCGCCACCTGCAAGGGGAAAGTGGTATTGTATTAGTTATTGTTCCACCCAGAGTTACTGAAACACATTGACATTATCTTTGACGGATCTCAAGGACTGCCCAACCCCCCACCCCGCACCCCCCTCCACTACAGTCATACCTAATGTTGTTTCGATAGTGCCACAGATCCAATGACCGATCTATGATGACTCTAAATCTTACTGACTGGTTCATACAATACTTCCATGACTGTAAGGTAAGAAAAAGTGACTGGGGCCACATTAATCGTAAATCTCACTCACTGGACATCAAACTCATTAAGGTGATCTTATCTACACCAATCATAAGCCATACTGACTAGATAGGACCATTCTCATAACAGTTCCAGCCTTGACAGTCACTCACCACAGTCGTACATGACGGGGCAGCAGTGTCCGTCCTTCATGATGGGTTCACAGCCGTCTATGGGTTGGGCGCACGTGAGATTGGTGCAGCTGAGGGACCCGCCCAGACAGAAGCACGACTCGCAGGGCCTCCCGTCAATCTCCACCTCGGTCCCGTCTGGGTACCTTCTGCCGTTTACCACACACTCTGTCTCCCAGTGGTGATTCGTTATTTATTTGGGGTGATAAAAATCCAACCAAATCATAAAATTGAATTATTTTACCTTCACAACAACCAAAAAGTTGATTAGTTGTTAAATCTGAAGTCTATCGGAAGCTGAAATACATAGGTTGTACAGTATGTGTATTTTGTTAACGTGTAGGGGAAACAAACACTTCTCGTTGTGTATGAGAGTGTGGGGAAACAATTATAGGTGGACACGGCATGAGTCCTCGTGTGTCTGGGAAAGATTCTTCACACACACACACACACACACACACACACACACACACACACACACACACACACGGAAACCAAAACAATCCATGATAGAAAATAAATATGTGTGAATGACAGGTAAGTCGTGACCTACAGCAGGCTGGTTCACCTCCACAACCCGGAACTAATATAACAACAAGACAACATCAGGACAGAAGACAAAACGAGTGGAGAGAAGGCGTTGGTTATGGTCCCTACCACAACCCTGTATTAAGACACACTGTAAACTGAATATAATATGTGGGTGTTGATGCTACGTGACCTGGATATAGAACGTATAGACGAGCCATTATTGTGAAGGACTTGTACATTTCATTTATTTATTTATTTATTTTTAGATGTAAGATTATCACATGTTTTTGATACGATGGAAATATTACGTTTTTAATCTTTTATCTTTTCTTTATTATACTGAATTGATTCGTTGATTGAGATAGTTTAAGTACAGTAACTTAATCCCACGAGTACAATGGCATAATTCACCGAGTACAATGATTAAAATCGCTTGAGTACGATGTCTTGAGCATTTTGAATTACGATAGCCTATTTACTTGAGTACGATTATATTGTACTCAAGGGTGAATTCATCGTACTCAGAGAGGGGGTTAACTCTAAACCACATATACTGCTGTCTTGGTCACAACAACAACAGCAACTACAACAACAACAACAACAACAACAACAACAACAACAACAACGCCACCACCACCACCACCACCACCACCACCACCACCACCAACAACAACAACAAACACAACAACAACAACGCCACCACCAACACCAACAACAACAACAACATCCAAGACCGACGTCACTTAGCCAACATTTGAGGTTTCCAAGGTGAAGCTATTAGGAAATTTACGGGGTTCTGGTTGGCACACAGCTTTCAACAACTCGACACCGCTCCCACACAAGCGGCCCCTCATAGGTGGAGGTAAACCGTAGGGAATAAGCCACGGCGTACAGGGGTCACATTGGCTCCCTGGTGATGTATAGACTTCCCGTTGGTGGCACGGCGGTTACCCCCACCCTTATACCTCCTGGCCGGTGAGGTGTAGGGCGTGGTGGTCCTCCTTACTGTTTTACCTTGACACACACACACACACACACACACCATAAACGTACACACACATATACACACACACACACACACACACACACACACCATAAACATACACACACACGCACACACACACACACACACACACACACACACACACACACACACACACACATTCCATTAGACACATTCATTTATCTACGCACCCACACACAGACGTTCACATACACACACCCCCCTTAAAATACACGCATATAGACGTTCACACACACACACACACATGTATTGTTTACCATCATCAGGTGGGTGAACGGGGCAGATGGAAAGCGGAACCTGACGATGTTTAAATCAGTGGAGAACATCAGCCTCGCCTCGCTGGTTTAACTTGAGGTTTCAACCACACTGTTTTATTGATATTTTTGGTGGGTAATGTGAAGATTAGTAACCCAAGCTTATTTCATTGGAAGATTAACTACCCTAATGCTAATCTATCTTAATCTATTCCCCACGTAGCGTTAAGGTGAAATAATCTGGGGTGTCTAACCTTCAGGTGATTTTTTCTTCTGTTTTATTTCCTGTAAGTTGTCTCCTCTATCGCCGTGACGTATAACACCTTCCGTTATACAGGGTAAACTATATTGCACACTACTTTCATTCCTTTAGTTTATAATACACTGTCAGCTATTCGTTCACTCTATCACTTCCCATTCTCAACTTTTCCATATATGTCATCCACTCCAGGCGACAACTTGCTACATTTCGCCTCATTTCTCATAACTTTTCCCTATTATAACGTGACCATTTACATTCCTCCACGTTATAAGTGAGATACAGTATATTTTAGAAATCGACGCAGCTCTTTCTGTTGTTAGTCATATACGTGATAACTCGCCGCTGTGGGTAACAAAAACAAAGACACGCGAGAAAGTGTAGACGCAGTGTGATGATGATTCACATCTCGTAGTGAACTGGTCATAACAGGTCATGGTGTGTTGAGGGTAGTGCCCGGCTCACCTGCGGTAGATGGGAGGGATTCCACAGTGAAGTATGAGAAGCTGTGTGTGTTTGTTTATGTTTTGTGAGAGATGGTAATGGTATGTGTTGTGTGATGTGTGTGTGTGTGTGTTGTGTGCTGTGTGATGACGTGCATGTGTGTGTGTGTGTGCTGGGTAAAGCCCTCCGGGACACCGTACACACACGTTACCGCCGCCAGTCAAGGCTTCTTCATGGGTCACGTAGTAGACTCCACCTGCAGGGGGAGTGTGGAGGCCACTCCTTTTATGTACTAATTTTTTCCCCTTACTTAAGAATTATGGAAACGTGGCATTTCCTTCTTTTTTTCCCGCTGCAGAAGGCGAACGTCGAGGCATGTGTGTTGCCTGAGGGAGGGAGGAGCCCTGACATACAGGGTGAGATTGGTGCTTACACAGGCTAGTTTATGGCTGGGCGCCGCCGCCTGCCTCAGGGTCTGGACAGTTTCACCCGGGAGAATAAGACGACGTGGACCATATTCGCTGCTCTGACAAAAACGACGCGGTTTTTTTTTTTTTTAACTTGTCAGGAGATGGAAATAAAAAGGTTGAGAAATAAGTGTCAGTGTTAGTTCTATTTTCCCGCATATTATTAAAACTATTGATATTTTATGAGGAGTTGAAATTTTGTTGGTGTTTTTATTATACTATTTTGGTCATGATTTACGGCTAACAGAAGATAATATCACTAGCTCACTCGGGAGTCTTAACCCTTTCGCTGTGTTTCCCGCACTTGCCATTTTTATTCTGGCTACTGCCAGACGACTTTATTCAGCTTAGGGTAACCTCCCGCAGCCAAAGAGTTAAGGCACGACGGTAACCGGGAAGAAGTCAGGGCCAGCAGAGTGCACATGACCCAAGGAGAGGTGTGCCATGCAGGTACTGGTAGGGCGCCTCCCTCCTGCACTGTGACACCTGCTGAGGGAGGGTCGAGGTGAACTACACTCTACACTTTGTTTGTGACGCTGAGGTGATAACTTTTGCCTTTGGTCTAGTTTTATGTGTGTCAGTATTTGTGTGTATGTGTGACCAACTATTGCGAGGCTAAAATGAATAATATAATATTTAGCTCTGCTTACGAATCTCTCTCTCCTTTCTCAAATAATAATAGTTTTACACATTATAGAAGAGCTAAACTATATTTTATTTTACCTTTACTAACCAATTAAATCTTAAATATCACATTTTATTTACATGATCCCATTGAAATATATTAGATCTGATTTACAGTAATTGGAATGTATGGATATTTTTTTTCCCATTGTATCTGAGTTAAAAGATGATAATATGCTTCGCCTCACCTGTTGGGGCTCTGACGGTGGTGGTGGTGGTTTTGTAGGCATCGTCTGGAAAGAAAAGACAACAATTATTAATAGTGACGACAGAGTTACTATTGATCTTGGAATGGTGAGAGTAGAGACTTGTTAGATCGGCCAGTCGTGATGCTGACGTTTACCTGATCGTAAAATTTTGCTGGGTAGGTGGTAGGTAATGGGCCTATTCAACCTCACCCATCCCATCCCATCCCATCCCACACATAAACATTCATTGACAAGAAAGTGGATGTAGGATAAGATAAGACTGAGATAGGTGTGAGGGGGGCGAGGGTAGGTATGAGGGGAAGGAGGGTAGGTGGGGAGGGCGAGGTAGGTGATGGGGGAGGAGTGGGTAGGTGTGAGGGACAGGTAGGTATGGGGGGAGGAGGTGGGGAGGGGGCAGTGGGTGGGGGAGGGGGTGGGTGTGGGGGCAGGTGGGTATGAGGGGGAGGAGTGGGTGTGAGGGAGGGGGGTAGGTATGAGGGGGAGGTGGGTGTGAGAGGGACAGGAGGTGGGCTTATGGGGGAGGAGGTGGGTGGGGGGCGAGGTGGGTGTGGGGAGGAGGTAGGTGGGGGGCAGGTGGGTGTGGGGGGAGTGGGTGTGGGGGGGGGGGAGGGTGGGTGTGGGGGGGCGGGGTGGGTATGGGGGGGGGTGGGTAGGGGGAGGAGGTGGGTGTGAGGGACAGGGGTGGGTATGGGGGGGGGAGGAGTGGGGTGGGGAGGGGCGGGGTATGGGGGGAGGAGGGGGGGAGGTAGGGTAGGTATGAGGAGGTAGGTGGAAGGGGGAGGAGGTAGGTGTGGGGGGCAGGGTGGGGGAGGAGGGAGGAGGTGCAGGTGTGGGGGGGCAGGAGTGGGTATGGGGGGGGAGGAGGTGGGTGTGAGGAGGGACAGGGGTAGGTATGGGGGGAGGAGGTGGGTGTGAGGGGGGGGGGTGGGTGTGGGGGGGAGGAGGTGGGTATGAAGGGGGGGAGGGGAGGTGGGTGTGAGGGGAGGACAGGATGGGTGTATGGGGGGAGGAGGTGGGTGAGGAGGGGCCGGGTGGGTATGAGGGGGGAGGAACCAGGGGGCAGTGGGGGGGGGCGGGGGGTGGGTATGGGGGGGAGGAGTGGGGTGGGGGGCGGGGGTGTGGGTGGGGGAGGTGGGGAGTGTGGGGGGCCGAGGTGGGTGTGGGGAGGCTCAGGTAGGTGGGGTAGGTGTGAGGGGGAGGGTAGGTGTGTGGGGGGAGGAGGTGGGTGTGGGGGAGGTGGGTGTGAGGAGGGACCGGGGTGGGTATGGGGGGGAGGGTGGGTGTGAGGGGCGGAGGGTGGGTATGGGGGGAGGAGGGTGGGTGTGAGAGGGCGGGAGGTGGGTGTGGGGGGCCGGGGGTGGGTGGGGGGTAGGTGTGGGGGTGGAGTGGGTGTGGGTGAGGGAGAGGGGCAGGGGTGGGTGTGGGGGGGGCAGGTGGGGTATGAGGGGGCAGGAGGTGGGTATGAGGGGAGGAGGTGGGTGTGGGGGGCGGGGTGGGTGTGGGGGGAGGTGGGTGAGGAGAGGGGCGGGGTGGGTGTGGGGGGGAGGAGGTGGGTGAGGGGGCAGGGGTGGGTGTGGGGGAGGAGGTGGGTGTGGGGGGCGGGGTGGGTGTGGGGGGCAGGTGGGTGTGGGTATGGGGGGAGGGGGGTGGGTGTGAGGGTGAGGGGGGAGGAGGTGGGTATGAGGGGGCAGGGGGGAGGAGGTAGGTGTGAGGAGGGACGGAGTAGGTATGTGAGGAGGTGGGTGAGGAGGGGGCGAGGTATGGGGACATGATCAGGGTGGGTGTGGGGGGAGGTGGGTATGGGGGAGGAGGTGGGTATGAGGGAGGAGGTGGGTATGAGGGGGCGGGGTGGGTGTTATGGGGGTGGGAGTGGGTGTGAGGGGCATGGGGTATGTGGGGGGGGTGGGTGGGGGGGAGGAGGTGGGGGCCCAAAGTGGGTATGGGGGGCGAAGGGTGGGGTATGAGGGGGAGGAGGTAGGTATGAGGGAGGAGGTAGGTATGAGGGGGGCAGGTTGGTATGAGGGGGAGGAGGTTGGTATGAGGGACAAATATCAGAACTTATTAGCCATCCAAAAACATGATATTATTACAGGGGCGAGGTTGGTATGAGGGGGAGGAGGTTGGTATGAGGGGACAAATATCAGAACTTATTAGCCATCCCAAAAACATGATATTATTACAGGTTATTATTGGTTAACGTTAACCTGTTATGTTTGGTGCCAGTGTTCCTAAACCTAGTTACCAAGGTATAAATGGAACCATTTCCTTAAGATGCACTCACTAGGGTATACAATAGGAATGAAACATGATTTAGGGTACAGTTATCAAGGTATACATGGAAGAATATTCACAAGATAACAGTTACCAAGGTATAAATGGAAGAATATTAACAAGATAACAGTTACCAAGGTATAAATGGAAGAATATTAACAAGATAACAGTTACCAAGGTATAAATGGAAGAATATTAACAAGATAACAGTTACCAAGGTACAAATGGGAGAATATTAACACGATAACAGTTACCAAGGTATAAATGGAAGAATATTAACAAGATAACAGTTACCAAGGTATAAATGGAAGAATATTAACAAGATAACAGTTACCAAGGTATAAATGGAAGAATATTAACAAGATAACAGTTACCAAGGTATAAATGGAAGAATATTAACAAGATAACAGTTACCAAGGTACAAATGGGAGAATATTAACACGATAACAGTTACCAAGGTATAAATGGAAGAATATTAACAAGATAACAGTTACCAAGGTATAAATGGAAGAATATTAACAAGATAACAGTTACCAAGGTATAAATGGAAGAATATTAACAAGATAACAGTTACCAAGGTACAAATGGAAGAATATTAACAAGATAACAGTTACCAAGGTACAAATGGAAGAATATTAACACGATAACAGTTACCAAGGTATAAATGGAAGAATATTAACAAGATAACAGTTACCAAGGTATAAATGGAAGAATATTAACAAGATAACAGTTACCAAGGTATAAATGGAAGAATAAACCACAATATAACATTTATTTTAACACATACAAAGCCCCAATCACCAATACAGTCAACAAAGAACATATTGGCACACGAGCCACATAATGTTAACCAGAGGGAGAGAGAGTACAGTACTTACCACTGTACCTGAAATACAGAACGTGTTGTAATCCATCACCACTAAATTACTTGTGTGTTATAACTTACTGTATAGGCTGAGGACATAGAGAGATTATCATAAGTAATTTGAGTTTATTGTGATGAAGGTATACGGATCAGTTCTATGACCACATGAACTTTAAACACCCCCAACTGATTTCACCTGATGATTAAAGAACCTAACCTAACCTAACCTAACCTAACCTTACCTAACCTAACCTAACCTAACCAAACCTAACCTAACCTAACCTAACCAAACCAAACCTAACCTAACCTAACCTAACCTAACCTAACCTAACCGAGAATTTTTAAACAACAAAAAGATGTAAAAAAGACTTTAAAGGTTGCATGATCGTACTGAATTGCCATGGGCTGATTAGGCAGATGTAAAGACAAACTGAAATAAATAATAATGCAGTAGAACGTCTCTCGGTCTCTGGCATATATAAATACAGTATAACAAGTGAAAGTGTAGAAATAATGTTTTTTCTCCGTCAGTGAATGAGTGAGTCAGTCAGTGAACGATATAATCTGATGTGAAGCTGCCAGGTCATCCAATTATACCAGCCATTGAAACATCATTTAATTATACCAGGTATTGAAACACTACGGTTATAAGACCAACCAGTGAGACAGTCTTATTATTTATATTCCCAGTCAACAACAGAGTTTTGTTAATAAGAAAAACTGGAGAATATTGCCACGAATTGTTTCAGTACTAGCTGGATTAATTAACTAACATCTGGATTAGTTAGCTCTCACCTGAATATATTATATATCACCTGGAGTAATTAGCTATTATCTGGAATGATTATGTATCACCTGGAGTAATTAGCTATTATCTGGAATGAATTGCTTCCGTCTGGATTAATTAGCTATGACCTGGATTAAATACGCTCGTATAACACCTGGAGTAATTAGCTAACACCTGGAGTAATTAGCTATGACCTGGATTAAATATGCTCGTATATCACCTGGTGTAATTAGCTATCACCTGGAGTAATTAGCTAACACCTGAAGTAAATAGCTATCACTTAGGTTAATTACCTCCCACCTGGATTAATTACCTCCCACCTGGACTAATTACCTCCCACCTGCATTAATTATCTCCCACCTGTATCAGTCAGAAAGTCAACACATCAAGGTATGGTTCTCCTCTATAGCCCATCAACCACTGTGTCCTCCAGCCAACACAATGAACCAGTCATCTCCTTCTCTCTCACTACACAAACTCGAGTGAAAGTTTCCCGTCCAATACGTTAGGTAATGGACTCATGATCGTCAACACTGCTGGCCTGTCTCGTGTGTGTGTGTGTGTGTGTGTGTGAGCTTCGCCTTAAACACAGGAGCTTGGGACGTAAACATGACAAGCGCTTGGCAACTCCTGCTATTGTCTCGTTCTGTCTACGTGATTTACCAACGTGTCTCCAGAAATGTTTTAATCAATTTCAGTGAAACTTAACATTCGGATGAAAAACCTTGGATAATATTGGACAATTTATTAATGCATCTCCAGATTTAATAGTCAATTTCAGTGGATAATTTGGATAATTTATTGAATATCAGACTAGAGGGAATCTAATTAATTTTGGGTACAATTATAGAGTATTTAAAGTCTTAATTATGTCATTGGTGTTGTTGTTGTTTACTTTGTATCTGTAAAATTCTGTCTAAATAAACTGTTTCATAATTTCTTCACAGGGGAAATTATGGCAAAGTATTATTTGTAGTTAACTGAAGGTGTGTGTGTGTGTGTACTTGTGTATATATTTTAGTGCATTTATGTGTGCGTTTTTACATGCTTGCATGTATCTGCGTACGCCTGTGTATGTATGTATGTATGTATGTATGTATGTATGTATGTATGTATGTATGAGGGAAAAAAAGGAAAAGCCCCGGTGTCTTTGCCCACAACACCCACACTACAAGAGGTAAAGGACCCCCACACGTCCCACACACACTCGGACACGGCTATGTTACGGTACACCTCGCCCACACCATCGCCGCTCCCCCTCCCCTCCCGCCACGCCCGCATCAACCAGGTTCCGGTATTTGGCCACAAGAACGTCATCCTGAGCCGTTATCTGCACTATCTTCCTCTCTGATTATTACACTTTGGGTGACTTAGCGGTTCCTTGTATCAGTGTGGGGGAGGGGGGGGGGACCCTTGGCTAGACCGGGAGTTTGATAGGAAATTCCGGTCACGATTAGATAAGGGATGGAGTGAACAACAACAACAACAATAATAATAATAATAATAATAATAATAATGATAATAATAATAATAATAATAATTCAAGTGCACACAGTGGTGACTCGGTAATAGTAATGTTAATACTATGGATGTGAATAAAATAATAAGACGCAATAGGAGTAAGAGAGAGAGAGAGAGAGAGAGAGAGAGAGAGAGAGAGAGAGAGAGAGAGAGCACACCGTCACATCTCCCCGCTGCTGGTTGGCTCGATACAAGGAACCCAGGTTAATTGGTTTTCACGGGGCGTTTCCAGTGGTCGACCAACCTTACACCATGACCTCTGGGGTGATGACCGTGACCCTGGGGTGATGCCGTGACCCCAGGGTGACAACCGTGACCCTGGGGTGATGACCGTGACCCTAGAGTGATAACCGTGAGCCCAGGGTGATAACCGTGACCTCGGGTGATGACCGTGACCCCTGGTTAATGACCGTGACCCCAAGGAGGTAACCCTGACCCAAAGGTCTACTTTTTTACCTCTGTTACTCTCCACATTTTTACCTGTCTACTTTGGTATCTGTCCATCATTCTACCTATCCACCTCGGTATCTGTCCACAATTCTACCTATCCACCTCGGTATCTGTCCACCATTCTACCTATCCACCTCGGTATCTGTCCACCATTCTACCTATCCACCTCGGTATGTGTCTACCTGTGGGCCAGTTTCTCAATCACTCACATCCTGTCGCTATATTGATCATAAGAAACACATACCGGATATATTCTGAATCAAAGAACTTGTTGACTTTGAAGTATATAGAGCTTAAGGGAAAGTTAATATAGTGTCAGGGAGTGGTAGCCGCAACATTATAAATATACTTTAAATGTATTGTTTTATTGGTATATTGGATTTGTTTATTTCCTGAAGTCCTGTCTCCTTCCGTCCTTCCTCTTTCCTTTCCTTTCCTTTCCTTTCCTTTCCTTTCCTTTCCTTTCCTTCCTCTTTCCTTTCCTTTCCTTTCCTTTCCTTTCCTTCCTCTTTCCTTTCCTTTCCTTTCCTTTCCTTTCCTTTCCTTTCCTTTCCTTTCCTTTCCTTTCATTTCCTTGCCTTTCCTTTCATTTCCTTGCCTTTCCTTTCTCCTCTTTTAGCAGTTTTAGTTGTGCCATAAATATGCTGAAGTTATATTTTGGCACACACACATACACACACACACACACACACACACACACACACACACACACACACACACACACACCCACACACACTAACGGAAGGCTATCATCGATGTGCACATACTTAAACACACAAACACAGTGACCACAAACAGAGTAAAAGTGGAGTGGTACAAATGTCAGTTTAAAGCATTAGGTCGGTCGACTATTGTGACACTGACTGATTATTACGCTATTGACCAACCCTTGACCACTGGACGGGGAGAGAGAGAGAGAGAGAGAGAGAGAGAGAGAGAGAGAGAGAGAGAGAGAGAGAGAGAGAGAGAGAGAGAGAGAGAGAGCAGTGGTGTATCGTATCCTGGGCTGAGAGGACTGGCACACTACCTGCACCTTCCATTATAAAGAGGTCCTCCACACACCATCACATACCAGGTCCTCCCACACACCATCACACATACCAGGTCCTCCACACACACCATCACATACCAGGTCCTCCACACACCCATCACATACCAGGTCCTCCACACACCATCACATACCAGGTCCTCCACACACCATCACATACCAGGTCCTCCACACACCATCACATACCAGGTCCTCCACACACCATCACATACCAGGTCTGATTAATACGGAGAGTATCAGAGCACGTCGACCATACGTGTCTGGGAGCGTTATAAAGGTTGAGGGGGCCGTTTGTGTGTGACATTCTCTTATCGAAAGACATGAACAGACGCACACTCGCCGCGGCTCGCCATCACTCGCCACGCCTCGCCCTTCGTGCCAGGATGAATGTGAGGCTTTTGACCCAAGATGAAAATTTATTATATTTTCCTCAACTTAGAAAGAGAGAGAGAGAGAGAGAGAGAGAGAGAGACTGCTCCATGATAAGTAAATTGTGTGTGTGTGTGTAGGGGCGAGCGAGGCTGTGACATCGCTGACAGTTGTTTAAGAGCGCTCACCCTTGGCACACCACACCTTCACTACTGATACAGTATACACGTGTGCGGTATAAAGTGTTTGTGTTTCGTTCTGGGTGTTAAGAGACAAAGGGGTACTGGAGAATGTGTGGCTGTTAGTCTCTGAACCTCGGGGAATGGTCCATGATATTATTATTATTATTATTATTATTGTTATTATTATTATTATTATTATTATTATTATTATTATTATTATTATTATTATTATTATTATTATTGTTGTTGTTGTTGTTGTTATTATTATTATTATTATTATTATTATTATTATTATTATTATTATTATTATTATTGTTATTATTATTATTATTATTATTATTATTATTATTATTATTATTATTATTGTTGTTGTTGTTGTTGTTGCTGTTGGTAATAGTAATAGTAATAGTATTAGTATTTTAAACATATGGAAGGAATCAGACAATAATAATTTGTAACTGCTTTCAGAAAACACATTGATTGACACCCACTTTTCCTTTATTCTTGCTTGGTTTTCTCCGTAAGGTTTTGGCCAGAATGTAGAGGAAATGGAAAGCAGAATGCGTCTACTATGGGAATAAGAGTGAGTGAAGGGAGAGAACCTGTGTTTGATCTTGAAGTCGGACACTATGTTATAAACGTATATAGTGTGAGATAATGGAGGAATATTTCGTGACAGTGAGACATTATCTTGGTATCTTCTGACGCCTGGGTGAGAGAGGAGGCGAGGACGTGTTTTGTGGGCATCAGATACAATATCCCTGGAGGGCTGAGCTCTTGTAGTAGGTGTGTCGTGTAGGTGAGTGTTGGATGTAGTGAGGTGCGACCATACTTACCGCAGGTGTGTCGTGTAGGTGGGTGTTGGATGTTGTGAGGTGCGACCATACTTACCGCAGGTGTGTCGTGTTGGTGGGTAGGTAGACCATCATACTCACGACAATCGTAGAAAGTCGGGGAGGTAGATAGTCATACTCACGACAGTCGTAGAATGTGGGGCAGCAGGAGAAGGTGCGGTAGCGGGGCCGGCAGCCCTCTACGGGCAGGAGGCACTTGGGCGCCACACACTGCCTCTTTCCCCGGATACAGAAGCAGTAGGAACACTCGTCCGGCGACGCCATGGCCGAACCCTCGGCGAACACGGCGCCCTCAGCCACACACCCTGACGGAGCCGCCAGGGGAGGAGGAAGCCGCTTAGTAGGGCGTGATAATGCTGTCATGCAGATCACTGTTTACGTGCTGGTGAGGTCATGCAATACCGTGTTGGGAGGTACGGGTGATGTGAAGCAGAATGACAGAGGATGTGTGGCGGTGAGGTCATCCCAGGTCATATAAGTGACACATGATGGTAGGGTCATGCAACATCAGTGTGAACATGCAGGAGGAAGTCATTGTTCGGTCACTGTAGGCGTCTGGTCGAGTCATGCAGGGTCAGTGGTAGGTTCATGCAGGTTCACTGAGGGGGAGGGTGGTCATGCACGGCCACGATGCAAGGAACAAGTCGTTAGGTCTCCCGAGGTAATTTCTGGACGTGTTGGTGAGCCACAGTCAGACGTGCTGCTCGGTAATGGTCTTATGAATGGTCCGGTGAGTCATGGGGCTCATGTAAAGGTTGTTTACTACAGGCTGTTTGGTACGTGACCCACGCATTTACACTCCTGGTTAAATATAACGTACTCAAGGCTAAAACATTCTTAATTAACCTTACCAAGAAGATCTCGCGTAGAACAAAGTTTCTTGGATCGGCGGATTAACCCGTTAGAGAGCGTTAACCAGACTAAAATACCTACGTGTAGGGCCGCCCTCAAAACGGATAAGGAATTAACTTTTTACATTATGATGTCGAGGTCGAGATTACGAGTTTACTTACAAAAAGAAACAATAACGCGGGAATAAGTAAAGAACAAATATTATATAAATGTGAAATATATTGATAAAAAAGACCGACTTGTGTAACCACCAGCTGAGTTTATTATCTGTTAGGCCCATCGTAGGTTAACGCTGACGATCAGAAAAAAAATTTATGATGAAAAGAAATACAAAGGTGAAAGTTACAGTAAGGTGTTTACAAATAACCGAGCGGCCTCTCTTAACTTTAGTTTGGTTATGTCGAAATTGCTGAAACTTGAGGAAGTATTTGTAGTGAAAGTATAGTGACATTTTCACACGATAAAGGTGTAAGGGACTCTGAGGTATCCATTTTCCCGAGTTTACTGGGATCTATTGACACGGAATTAGGTGATAATATGACACATGCCGGAAATAGTGAAATAATATTAATACTCTTACTACTACTAATAAAAATAAACTTTAAAATTGCCAAAACGGATCCATAATTAATAGGTGATGAATTTATTCCTTAAAACTGGGATTAAAAGTTCTCTAAAAGGTTCAATTTGCACTAAGAAGTTTTTACTCTAACAATATATCCGGGTTAAGATTATTTTAAATGATGGAGTGATGGTTTACACACCTCACAGCTCCACAAGGTCAAGCTGGGTGAACACGTCTCTCTCATTATAACTTAGTTTAAAAAAATGTTCTTTATGTGATGGCATGGCGGGTGTTGACGTCGTGAAGGCCAACACGAGACAAGAATTGTAACACATTATTTGGTATTTCCTGATGATAACAGTAGACGACGTGAGGTGGAGTGTTGTACTTCGTTGTGTGAGCTTGAAGGTAACCAAACACACTGACAGTCATCACTAGAAATACCCAAGTTGTTTTGAGTGCCTTGATGATGATGATGATGATGATGATGATGATGATGATGATGATTAAGTCTGTGTAGTTATGGAGTTGCGTTAAAATTCCTGGATAGTTTGCGTCGTGTTTCGTCTTCCAAGTGGTGTTTGTTGTCACGCGTCTGTCACTAAACTGTTTTTATCTGTTTGGTCTCAGAGTCTTATGGAGTTGTCAGTTTTGTTCATAGCGTCAATAAGGTTCTTATTCCTTTACGCTGGTCAATAGTTTGTGTGAGGTGTCGTGTTACAGCAGCAGTCGTGGCGTGGTGTTCGTCGTTGTGACCTGAAGCAGGGCTGGTGTGACATGCTCGTCAAACGGACACAATCCTTACCCGTGAAATTATTATTAATGTGGTCCTGGCAGGTTAGATACGCTGGTGTGTTAAGTTAGGGTAGGTTTAAGAAGGTTGGGTTACCTCAGGTTTAGCACGGTTGACCTTTCTTATTAAGGGATTGGTTAGGTTAAAAGCCCAGAGGATTTATTTTCTTTGTTAGTTTTTTTTTGTCATTGTGTCCGTCGACGTGAGGGGTGGCAGGCCAAGGTGGTGGCGGGGAGCAGCTTGGTTATGGGGGAGTATTACCAGTATTGCCAGTATTACCAGTATTACCAGTATTGCCAGTATTACCAGTATTACTAGTATTACCAGTATTACTAGTATTGCTAGTATTACCAGTATTACCAGTATTGCCAGTAGTATTACCAGTATTACCAGTATTGCTAGTATTACCAGTATTACTAGTATTACGTTATTATTATCAGTATCACCAGTATTACTAGTATTACTAGTATTGCCAGTATTACCAGTATTACCTTATTATTATCAGTATTAAGTTATTATTACCAGTATCACCAGTATTACCTTATTATTACCAGTATTACGTTATTATTACCAGTATTACCAGTATTACGTTGTTATTATTACCAGTATTGCCAGTATTACGTTATAACACGTATTACGTTATTATTACCAGTATTACCAGTATTACGTTATTATTACCAGTATTACCAGTATTACGTTATAACAAGTATTACGTTATTATTACCAGTATTACTTGTTATTATTACCAGTATTACCAGTATTACGTTATTATTACCAGTATTACTTGTTATTATTACCAGTATTACCAGTATTACGTTATTATTACCGTGCTTTTTTATTTGCAACATTTTTCTGCTATATATCAATTCATGTATTATAAGGTGGCGTTATTCTGTATCTATAATGTATACTATTACAGAACCAAACATGGGCATGGCGCTGTGCATCACATGAGCGGAAACTGTGGTTGGATAAGACCCATAACAAGATAAGAATAAGCTGCCTGGCGGGAGATATAGATGTGCGATGTTGAATATGTGAATAACTACTTTCTTATACTAAACTCAGGTATATTAGATTTTAACTAATTGTACAGGTGAGAATAGAAGGTCGGCAGATGACATCACTTAGTCTGACTCTCATATATTTCTATTATCACCTGAACAGTTATCACACTGAGGACATTATTTCCGGTTTATCTTTTAGTATGACACAGTTGGAACAGTAGCTTGTGTTAGTGATGGAGTGGTTGACGGGTGATTATTGGATTTAGAATTTATTATGTAAAAAGACCGACAAATTATTTATGGTTTTATAGAGACGAGAATTTAAGAAGTTTATTACATGTTAGTGATGTAGGTTATGAACAGGTGTAAGAGAGGTAAACAGGTGACTCTTGAATTAATGAATCACAGTAGTTATGTGACGCCCGTGTTAGTTCAGGTATAGATGTGAGGGTCTTGTGACTCGAGAAGGGTGAGGTCATGGGTGTGTGGGTGTGGGCGGCTCACCCCTCATGGTAGTGTCGCGGACTCCTGAACCTCCTCTCCGGCGAGTGCCCGCCACCGCCGCCTCCGCTGCCGCCGCTGTCGCATCCTTCTGCCTCACCTCTGTTAACTCGTGCTGTTGCTGTTCCTCATGAGGCACAGCTTCCGTCTCTGTTCTATATAGACGGTTGGTCTCTAACTCACCGTCTGTAATATAGATAAAAAAATCTTATTATTAACACGATTAAATGAGATACGAGATTATTACTGGACTTAAAATATTAAATAATCCTGAATCATTTATAAACAAACTTAACAAAACGTTTTGATGTTACTTGACAAAACAAAAATACATGATTGAACACATTTACACTGATGATGGTGACAAGTGTACAGTGTACAGTACAGCTGGAACGCTGGAAAGTTTCAAAAGGAGGCTAGATAGATTCATGGATGATAGAGAGTGGTAGTAACTCTCGACAGGAGCTGCCATGCACAGGCCAACCGGCCTACTGCAGACTCTTTATTTTCTTATGTTCTTGTCTCACACAGCTGACGTGAGCTTCACCACCAGAGGATGACAGTCGTGGTCATAGAGGGACGGACCCAAGTAAAATAAAACACATTTAATATAAACAGAGACGATGATTATACATGATACTATAATGGATGAGGAACTCGTTTACCACCAGCCATCAGGTCAGTGGTTCTCTACCTTTATAACTCCACGGAGCAGCGGAGAGTAAAAAAAATCGACAGACGTGTAAATGTTAGGCCAGGCCACCCGCACCTCCCTACCAAACTTAAGATGTCTTCAAAAAAAATTATATTTATGTATATATATATATATATATATATATATATATATATATATATATATATATATATATATATATATATATATATATATATATACTGTATATAAGCATCATTATCATTATTATTTATTGTTATTTCTACTACTAATAATTAGTAGTAATAATATCCACTTACACCAAGACCTTGAACCCTTCCCTCCCCGGGCCAACCCTACGGAAAGGTTGACCTTGAAAGATTCTTCATGCCATTGTTGTAAAGAAAGGGAGAGTTGCCTCAGTCTGACCCAGGGATTTATTGTACTCCGTCCCACCACAAGACCCCGTGGAATGTGCACCCCCGCCCACTCATCCACCCACTCATCCACCCATTCACCCACCCACTCATCCACCCACCCGCCCACACGAACTTTATTCATGATATGATAACCAACTCATTTCTTATTTTCATTTAGTAATTCTTTAAGACACCTCAGCGTAAATAATATCTTAAAAGGTGTTAAGTAACCATGTCAGGTTAATTGGAGTTGTGGCTTTCAGGTGTTGGTTACCTGCAGTGTCATACTAACCTTTCCACTCTGTTTACCTCAAAACTCATTGTGTTAACGCTGACAACACTCGTACCTTTATTAGTCTGTGTCTATGACTTTCTAACCAGGAGTAACGTGAACTGTAAGTGATGGTCTCAAGCCACATTAAAGGTTAAATATATTTCTTCCTGTTATTGGCAACGTTTAGGTTAGGTTAGGTTAGGTTGGGTTAGGTTAGGTTAGGTTAGGTTAGAATGGAATGTGAAGCCGAATTAAATCAGTTATTTTGAGCCTCAGGTGTGTAGTGGTTTTGATACCATCGTCTGTTGTAGCTCCGTCAGGTAGGATCTGTCTGGGTCCTCTCCCCACCACAGCAGCCCCTCATTTATGCATACCACAGTCTGGCATCTGCCGCCTCACCCAGCCATGGTGACCGCCTGACCCACCAGACCTTCCCTCCACAACCTCTAACCTTTCCACTGCCCATCCCATTCAACCATTACTGTCTCACTCTCTGCGTATATAAAAGATCGGAATATTATTTTTTGTCCAGAGTTTTTGACCGCGAATATTTCCAGCCAAGAATATTTCTGGCTTGACTTTCCTAACCTAACCCAATCAGGTAACATCGGGGCGAAAATATTTGAGGCCAGAAAGTTCAGGTAACGTTTCGTCCCAGTAGTGTGATTACGTTAAGGTGAGGTTCAATGTATGTTTTGTATGGGTGAACTACAGCTTGTTCCCTATAAACTACTTGACTGTGTTGTGATATATACGAACTTGTGTGAGATTGGTCGTTATATCCAGGTGTTAGTACGGATAAGTCTGGTCTGTCCCCTGCGGTCACCTTAACTCTGATGATATAAAGGGATAGGGGAGACCCTTTTCTCCTGGAGGCTGTGAGGCGACGAGATATTAGTCGATGCATATTTCTGTTGTTTTTCTTGACGTTGTGTGTTGAGGTGGAGGAACAAAGACAGGTCTGGATGTCGATATTTAGGGTCGTGAAGAGACAATGGCTGGGAGGTGGTGGAGGGTGGGGGACGACTCAGGAGACCCGAGGTCAAGTCCAATACAAGTGGGACTCAAGGTTACTCTCCAATAGGGGTGTAATTTCACACCCATTTGGGACATAGTTGTTAAGAAATTCAAGACCTTCCACTAGACAGCTGTTAGGTTCGGCTGGTAAATGCTGCGGGAGACTGAAGTTCTAATATTTATCTCATCACTAAACATTTTCTCAAACACTGAAGTAAACATCACAAGATTATGGGATGAATCTTAAATATTTTGGGTTGAATTGTAAACATCACTATAGTTCAAGTGTGACCTTAAGTGTGATCTTTTGAGAAACAGAAGATGATATGTTTGAGGTTTAGTTGTCAGCAAAGTGAAGCTCAGGAAGAGGGAGAAGCTGCGGTGCGGTGAGTTACCCTGCAGGCGGCTACTGACGGTGGCACCACAGTGATGAGCCAGCAGATATTCCCGAAGGCAATGACTCCAAGCATCTGCCGTTATCAGCACAGTCCCAAAACCCTCGTCCCCCCCCCCCACCCCACCTCCTCCTCTTCTTCCTCCTCCTCCTCCTCCTCCTCCTCCTCCTCCTCCTCCCCTCCCTCCCCTCCTCCTCCTCCTCCTCCTCCTCCTCCTCCTCCTCATCATCATCATCATCATCATCATCTTTCGGTATATTATGGTTCCTCTTCTCCCTTTCAGAGTCACTGAACGCGGACTCAAACACACACACACACACAGAAGGTAATTCACATCACGATTCTTTGGGGTACAGTAATCTATTGTATACACGAGGCTGTATTACCCAGTACCCTCAAGACCTGCCTGCTGGTGGTGACGTCTCCTTCACCCCTACCATCCACCCTCTTCCCCCACCCCTGCACCTACTTCACCTCTTCTTACACTCCCACCCGCCCACCACCTCCCCACCCTGCACCTACTTCACCTCTTCTTGCCCACCACCACCCACCTGCCCACCTACTTCACCCCCCTCCTCCCTTCATGCGCCCTTCTAACCTCCAGGGAATTATGATGACCCTGTTCTTCTGGGGCGCCCCTCAGGCCGTTCTCCCGTTACTCTCACATTAGTTTCGTGACATGTGATTTTAACCTTGTGACATGAACCGTTACTCCCGCTGCGTTAAACCCGTGTTGTGTACCTCACTCCCACGCCCACGTTAACCCCGTGTTGTGTACCTCACTCCCACGCCCACGTTAACCCCGTGTTGTGTACCTCACTCCCACGCTCACGTTAACCCCGTGAAATATAGCGTTACTGCCATGTTAAGTCCGATTCCTCTACCGTCTCTCCACGATAACTCTTTAACATGTTCTTTAACCCCGGTGACATGTACTGTTGCTCCCGTGTTAACTGTGTTATCTTTATACCCACATTAACGTTACTTGTTGAGGGAGACTGGTACGTCCAGATCCGTCAACGATGTGTCTTGGTGTGCAATTTCGACGCCATTTAGTGGGCCTTCATAATGTGGGAAGGTTGGGGCACAGGGCTGACGCTGGTTGACAAGGTACAGAGATTCGGTCCTGCAATCGTGTCCTTTTAACTGTAGATGTGAGGAAGTATCGTCCTCTCTCACGCCAGCTGAGTCACTGAGGTGAATGGGAGAGAAATTGCCCCAAGACTCTACCGTTGCAGGATGACAATTCTTATCCTTAACACGGGAACAAAAAAATAACATGGGAATCTTTAAAACTCTAGAGCCAGGAACGTGACCCCTTCCTCCGCCTCCTCAGCATCATACCAACTCTATCCTGGCATTATCCTGAGTGATCCTCCTAACCCACTGGCACCCCGGATGTTCCTCACAATACCTGACCTTCTCCCGTGTCATTATTAACTTGTGATAACTACTTACTACGGTGTTGAGGTCATCATGCTTTGCCCCCTGCTGTCACCTCTGTCCTGATGCAGCCAGATGTGTGGGGAAAAAACAGTCACTAAAAAGGACACAGTTTGTAATATCCTCTTCCTGTGTTCGTCTTCTGTTTACATGAATTAATTAATGAAAATATAGATGCGTATAGTTACATGTGTGTGGTTATTGAGTCCTTACAACTTGAGTCCTTTTAACACCTTGAGTACGATCCCAACCATCTGAGTACATTACACTTCATCATCTATACACCTTATACACCTTATACACCTTATACACCTTATTCACCTGACTTAATACCCTCCTTACACCCCATCTCCTACACATCATCTACACACCCAACTGTACATCTACCTCGAGAACCTTGCATCAGGAGACACACCCACCACCTACTGTACACTTCCCTATCTACTGTACACCCATTACCCACCATGGACACGGAGTACAAAGAAGTCGTCCTTATCACCTATATACAGCTTTCCACGTACGCTGAACCTTCTCTACCTCTCCACGTACATCTCCACCCCACGTACAGTATTATTTACGTTCATTTAGCCCCACTACACCTCCCCCACGTACACATCTCCCACTGTACCTCCCCCACGTACACATCCCCCATTGCACCTCCCCCACGTACACGACCCCACGTACACCACCCCACGTACAGCCAGCACAAGGAAGAACACCCTCACCACAGACCACCTCAGGACAGCACTGGCCGGCCTTCTTGAGCTTGTAGCAACCCTCGGGCACGGAGTTAGGCACGGCGGGACAGACCCTCAGATGGCAGACGAGGGAGGCGTCCTTGCAGGAACAGATGAGGCACGGCTCTTGGGTGGGTACGGCCTCCCCTGCCCCGTACCACTTACCGCCGTACTCACACTCTGGTTGACTCTGGTTACTAGCTGTTGTCGAGGGATGCAGAATGGGTTAACTCGGTGGTGTGAGGGAGAGACAACAGGCAGGTAGACTATGTGGTTTATTTACATTTTTTTAATTATCAAGATATTCTACTGGGAGTATTTACAGTTTTATTTACAAGTTTATTTATCTATTTCTACTGGTTTATTTACACGTTTATTTATTCTATTTACGGTTTATTGTCATTATATACAACAGATTTATTTACAGTTCTTAATTATTACTGTATCTATAATTCTACTGGTTTTATTTACAAGATTTATCAATTAATTTATGATTGTTAGGGATTAATTTACAATGACTACTTAGTTGTTAATATTTTTAAAGGTTTTAGAAATTATTAGGATATAGTTTTAGTAAATATAAAGTATATATAGCTTGCATTCTACTTATAGTTATGTAAATCTAGATAATATTAGTTATTATTTATCCTTTATGAGAGAGAGAGAGAGAGAGAGAGAGAGAGAGAGAGAGAGAGAGAGAGAGATCTTTCATATATTTGTTTGTCTCATTATTGTCAGGTGTAAAGACTAATTAACACCTGAGTATCATGTGTCCTGGGTTACGCATGAGGAGTTGTTGTCTCGAGATGTTACAAGATGGGGTTAGGTTAGGTTAGGTGAGTCCTGACGTCTTGGGAGGAAATAATGACAGGTTGTAATTCCCCACACAAGTATATACCTATCTACTACAGCCCGCCTGAAGCATTGTGATCAGTCCAGCATCAGTAAGTGGTCAACTGAGGGTTTCCCCATCGTTCACTCGGCCTTGAAGATCCACTACATGAAAGTTGTAACGTGTTTCTGCTTTCCTTTTCTAACCTAACCTAACCTAACCTAACCTAACCTAACCTAACCTAACCATTAAGAGAAGCCATAGAATCAAAGGGAAAAATTTATCAGGTGAGTTGATTGGGTAATTGTATGGAGTTTTCAATGTTAGTTTAGTTAGTGATTAAAAATGGATTCTATGTCACTTCTATGTTATTATCGTCAGGGTTTAGTGCGTTGCTTTTTTAGTATTATTTTTTTAAGGTCTCGTTGTGGTGGCTATAAGGATATTGAGTTAATTTGTACTTTGTTTTTAATATATTTTTTTTTATGTGTTTAGTATCTTGCTTATATGATACTTATTTTGAGAGAGGTTTGTGTACGTCATTTTAACGTTATTAGAATGGGAGGTAATGACGTGAGGACGGTATAGGAGTAGGAGGAAGGGGCAGTTTGTGAACAATGGAGACTGAAGAGGAAGAGGAGGCAGTGTGTGGGCGAGGAAGACTACAGGATGAGGCAGTGTGTGGGCGAGGAAGACAGTGTGTGGGCGAGGAAGACTACAGGATGAGGCAGTGTGTGGGCGAGGAAGACTACAGGATGAGGAGGAGGATGAGACAGTGTGTGGGCGAGGAAGACTACAGGATGAGGAGGAGGATGAGACAGTGTGTGGGCGAGGAAGACTACAGGATGAGGCAGTGTGTGGGCGAGGAAGACCTGGGACAAGGAGGAGACGGTGTGTGGGCGAGACTACAGGACAGGGGAGGGAGGATGAGGCGGTGTGTGGGCGAGGAAAGCTTCAAAAGGGTACAGTTTCCTGGAAGTCCAGATCTGAGGCGCGTCCATCTGAGGTGTGTCTGGTTGCAGTTACCCAGCAGGAAATGCCCAGAGAGAGAGAGAGAGAGAGAGAGAGAGAGAGAGAGAGAGAGAGAGAGAGAGAGAGAGAGAGAGAGAGAGAGAGAGAGAGAGAGAGAGAGAGTCCTGTCTGTCTTTTAATGTGTATGTGTATTTTTATCTGTGTGTGTGATTATGTATGTCTCTGTATATGTTCGTAGTATAACTCAAGGACGAGAAGCAGCTGTAGTGTTCATACTTGGCATAAATACACGTACACGTCCAATAGATGAGTGTTTGCTTTTGAGTTAGGGCGAGCTGAAGAGTGTACACAGTGAGTTGGATATTAACACAGACCAAACGGACAGGACTAAACGAATACTCTGGTCCTGGTTATCGGCCATCACCTAACAAGTGGTGGTTAATGTGAAGTTATCGCCCCAACCTGTACTTTTATGTTAGCTGTTGTCCAGTAACCAGTGCCCGAGTCTACTAATGGACGGAAAGCTGTTCAGTGTATTTCATTGTATTAGTTTCTCCTGTTGCTGTTCCTCTTATCGGTACAGTTGTGAGAACGAATCCATTTACGTCTTTTTTCGTCTCTATGTCTCACTTAACCTATTTCGTCCCAGCTCCCCTTATCAGTACCCCCCTGAGGAACACGCCCAGGTACACTTCCCAAGGGACAATCCCAAGTGTCAGAGACAGTGTGCTCGAGGTCATAGGAGACGGCAGTCGGTTCCTCGTGGCTCTGCCTTTGATAGCGTGTTAAAAAAAAATGCAGCGTTGAAGGTGTCGTCACAGAGCTAATTCTCGAGGCGTTGGAACCAGTTGTGTGTGAGTAATGCTCGTGAAGACAGCGTGGAGGTGTGGAGGTGTTGGGACTCATTAGGACTGAACGTAAGGCCACAGTTTGGTGATTTCGAGTACTCAGAGTTTGGTGATTTTACAGTTTATGTCAATAATCGAATAAAAAAATGATGATTTCACAGGTAAATAACGAAGGTCAAAGTTTCGTTCGTGATTTCATGGGTACAAAACAACCAGTCAATATCTGGTGATTACATAAGACCTTCAGAACAGACCGAGACTAGTTAGTACACAGGGAACCTAACTGCTCTACTCTAGTTATAACTAATTCATGGATCGTCTCGTTGTTAATTCCTTCTTCGTAGTTTGACCCTTGACCTTTTTCCTCATTAGCTGGGAACCTCAAGGATCTTCCCCCACCTGTCGTTATGAGGGGAGGGGAGGATAACGGTAACAGAGAATGGTGTTATGAGGGGAGGGGAGGATAACGGTAACAGAGAATGGTGTTATGAGGGGAGGGGAGGATAACGGTAACAGAGAATGGTGTTATGAGGGAGGGGAGGATAACGGTAACAGAGAATGGGAAGAGGGAGGGGAGGACACCAAAATAGAGAATTTTGGGTGTTAAGGAGGGGAGGAGCAGATAACGGTAACAGAGAATGGTGTTAAGTGGGGGGGAGGAGGAGTAACGGTAACAGAGAATGTAGGAAGTGGAGGAGGAGGATAACGGTAACAGGAGAATGGTGTTAAGTGAGGGGAGGAGATAACGGTAACAGAGAGAATGGTGTTATGAGGGGGAGGGGGAGGATAACGGTAACAGAGAATGGTGTTATGAGGGGAGGGAGGATACCCAGGTAACAGAGAATGGTGTTATGAGGGGAGGGGAGGGTGATAACGGTAACAGACGAAAGTGGGGGGAGGGGGAGGATAACGGTAACAGAGAATGGCGAGGGGAGGAGACATCTAAATAGGAGAATGGTGTTATGAGGGGGAGGAGGATAATTTAACAGAGAATGGTGTTATGAGGGGAGGGGAGGATAATGGTAAAACAGAGAATGGTGTTAGTGAGGGGGAGGGAGGAACGGTAACAGAGAATGGTGTTATGAGGGAGGGGAGGGGAGGATAACGGTAACAGAGAATGGTGTTATGAGGGGAGGGGAGGATAACGGTAACAGAGAATGGTGTTATGAGGGGAGGGGAGGATAACGGTAACAGAGAATGGTGTTATGAGGGGAGGGGAGCAGGTCGGTGGTGTTACACTTCTTGGCTGGTCGCCAGAGAGAGACCAAGTGTCTACCACCCCACCAGCCAACTGACCTCCTGATATACAGTACTTTATCTGATATAGTAGTTCTAGTTTCCATTGATATATTTCTGCCCTTTTATTTGTTTATTGGTATACATATATGAGTTCTTAGTGATCCTCGGAGTCTAGTTGAAATAGTTTGGTTTTCGCTACCTTTTGGTTTTTAAGGAAGATAAATATATCTCATAGCGTGGAAGCAAACACGGATTACCTGAAGATTCTCCCCCCTCCCCCCAGTTTATTTCACCTGAATAATTATCCTAACACTAATCTAACCTAACCTCCCTCCCCTCCTCCCAGGTAGCGTTAGGTTGGTTAATCTTTATGTGAAATGATTAAGGGGGGGGGGGGTGAAATCTAAAGGTGTTTTCAGAAGAGTTTGGTGAAAGAATGTTGTATTGATAATCATTATTCATAAGTGAAAATCTCAGTCACCAACTCCAGCTTCAGACGTAAAGTGAGGGGGCAATATGATAGAGGTTTATAGATGGAAGGCAGGGCTAAACAAGGGTGATATAACAAAGGTACTCAAACTATCCAACCAGGAACGAACGCGTAGCAATGGCTTTAAATTAGACAAATTTAGATTTAGGCGCAAGTTAGGTAAACATTTGTTTGGAAATAGAGTAGTGGACGACTGGAACAAGTTACCAAACATCATTATTAATTAACTCGAATACGCTGGATAGCCTCAAACATAGGTTGGATGGATATATGAGCGATAGGGGTTGGGTGTAAATGGGACTGCCCAGTATGGGCCAATAGGCCCGCTGCAGTTTCCTCCATTCTTATGTTCTTATTAACGTGTGTGTGTGTGTGTGTGTGTCCTCTTTCAACACCCGTCTTTCATTATTTAAAAATATTTCACGCTGTAACAAGGTGTAACAATGAGAGCGAGTATTACCAATAATTGGGGTTGCCGGAGGGAGGAAAAACGAATAAAAACAGTAAAGATAAAATAATGTTCTCAGACAGTCGTCCAAGACAAAGGCGAAACTAGGATTTCAATAAATCACCATAAGGCATTTTAACACAGGATCAAACCTTTCTTAACTCCCCTTTAGGTTACAGAAGTGAGGAATGTAATATAATGTAAAAAAGGTTCTGTAACGTAAGACATGGTGATGAGTTTTGATTTAGTTGAATTGGTTTAAATTTGTTTTTGTTCACAATCTTCTCTATCAATCTTACTAAGTCCTCACATAACTCAGGTGTCGTATGTTTATGTCTCCTGATACCTGGTGAAGCAAGTTTTTAAGATAAT